AGCTTGCCAACTGCCTTATTCAGCTGTCTTGGTAGCTCCCCAGATACTGTTTTGAATAATTTAAGTGTAAGGTATTTGGTTTCCTCCCATTCATTGCCCCATGAATCAGCTTTGGGAACGCTGGGAGTTTTGGGAGACATTATGTTAGCTTGTCTTGTCATGTTTCTGTTTTTGTTTGTTCATGTTATGTTGAGGCTTGTGAGTTTATTGTAATGGAAAGTTTTGTTTCTAGTATGGAGACCTCTGTAGTTAATATCTACTTTTCAGTGGTTTCCTCTGAGCATAGCTAACTATTGGTCTTTACCTCTGTTCCAAGATCCAACCATTTCCATTTATTTGAGATAGGAGTTTGCAGCATATTTGGCCCAGTAATCAATTCTTCTGAAAGGGGCCACAGTATTGTTAATGTCCCCCAGGCAATCTTTTTTTTTCTTTTTTTTTTTTTTTTGGTTTTTCTCCGGTACCAGGAACCGAACTCACGACCTTGCACTTGCCAGGCAGGCGCTTTTGCCGCTGAGCTAAATCCCCAGCCCCTCCCCCAGGCAATCTAGACATTGAAATCTCAAGAAAACCAATTAATAGTGATAGTCATAACAGCTTTGCTATAGTAATAAAATCAACATTAATTATTGCATTAAATACAATCTGCAAATTGATAAACTCTAAGGATGAGTAAAGTACCATCTTTATCTACAGGAAAGAGATCTATAATTATAGATCTAAGACAAACCAAATACTGACCTACAGTAAATATCCACTAAATGGAACTTTACTTCTACTAACTGTAGCACAGTAGTCAAAAGCAATAGTGTAAAGTTAACTATTTATCTAGAGATTGATAAAGTTGAGTAGTTATACTGCTAAAGATGGAGAGGGTTGAGAACTGGAGAAAGACAAAACCAACATTTGAAAAAGTAACCAGTGGGATTACTGAGAACGAGAGAAAAGTAAGGTGGGGGTCCTATTGAGAAGCAAAAGAAAATTAATAGTAACAGAGAAAAATTGCTGGAAAGAAAACACAAACAAGAAGAAAAAAGATGAACAGCAAAAACCAGAGAAGGAAGAGAAACAAAGAGAATGGAAAGACTTAAGGCCAAAAAGAAAAAAAAGAAAAAAGAAAAGAAAAGAAAAGAAACTAAGAGAAAGAAATGGAAGAAAGTAAAGAAATAATGCACAACATAAAAATTAAATCGAAAAACAAATTAATGTATTATTGAATGCAATCTTGGACTCCAGCCAGTCACAGTTTTCTATGCCTGGCCTCAGGGCCTATGAATCTTTGAGGTTCCCTCCTTATACTAGAGGCCCCTCTGCATGATTACTGTTCAAGCCAAGGTATGTCCTTGCTTCCACTGGAGGATGGGGAACATGATCAGCCCTCTGTTCTCTGCTAGATGGAGGTTCAAGTGGGGTATTGGGCTAAATGTCAACAGTTCTGGGGTCTGGTTGCTCCCTTCTCTCCCTGAGTGTTGTCCTTGCTCAGCATTGGGTGGTTTGGTTAGTATTTGCCTCTGCTTCCCCATGTTGTATCCCTTGGCGGGGGGGACACTGCTCCTCTGGCATGGGTCTGCTCACACAGAGCCCTGTTTCTCTAGTACTGATTGACACTCTCACAAGGGTGGACATTGTTTCTCCATGAAGATCCACTCTTTCACCAGTAGCATTTTGTTAGTTAGTACATTGGAGAGGGCAGATATTCTTGTTTCTATGCTGACAAGAAATTAAAAGGAAGAAAATTCCTGTGCTTTTTGACCATGATTTGGATGAATGTCCCCCAAAGGTCCATATATAATGGCTTGGTCCCTAGGATGGTGGTATTGGGATGTTTGGACCTTTAAAATGTGATAGCTAGTGGGAAATCCTCAGGTTGTTTGTGGTGGTTATAAAGACAAATATGGGGTCGCTGGATGTGATGGTGCACACTGGTAATCCTTGCACTTGGGAGGCTGTGGTAGGAGGATTGATGTGAGTTCAAGGCCAAATTGGGCTACATAATGAGTTCAAGGCCAGCCTCAACTACATGGCAAGACTCTGTCTCAAAAAAAATATAAATAAGAAAAAGCAAGCAAACGAGAAAGAAAGAAAGAAAAAAGGAGTTAGGGAACCCTTGTAACCCCTTTCTCCTTTTCTTCTCTTCTCTCCACTCCTCTCCTTTCTGTCCTCCTCTCCATCTTCCCTCTTTTTCTTTCCTTCTCCCCTTTACCTCTCTTCTCCTCCTCTTCCCCTCCCCTTTTGTTCTTCCTCCTCCTTTCTCTGTCTCTCTATCTCTCTGTCTCTGTCTTTCCTTCTCTCCATCTCTCCCTTCCTCTCTCCCTCTCTCTCCTTTCTGACTCTAGATATGAACACTTGCTCTGACACATTTTTTATGGGAAAAAGGTAAAACAAAATTTAGGAGAATAACAACCATTAATACATTGCATATTGTTATCTTTAAAGTAGTTATTCAGAGTAAAAGATATGGGCATTAAAATTTTCTCCAATCGATATTAGCACAAACCTTGCCTTTCAACGGACTAAGGGACACTAATAGTATAACTGACTTGTTATTTTTTCCCTTCCATCCTTTCCCCTTTCCCCTATCTTAATTCCCCTTTCCCTTTGAATAATTTCATCCCATCTCAAGATATCTATTATACATTTTAGACCTTATTCACACAGTTTCTTACACAATGGAGAATATATGGTGTTTACACAGGCAAGTCTGACTTATTTCACTTAGTATGGCCTCAAGTTACATCCATTTACCTATAAAAGTCTCAGATTTATCCTTTATTGATGAATGGTACTCCATTGTATAAAAATAACACATCTTTTTTTATCCATTGCTCAGTTGATGGACATTTGGATTGTTTCCAAGACCTAACTGTGACAAATTGTGCTGCTATAAACATGGGTGAACATACATTGCTGTAGTATGATGTCTTTAATTCTTCTGAGAAGATACCCAGAAGGGGAATACCTGGGTCAAATAGGACCTCTAATCCTAGCTTTTTGAGGAATCTCCATACTGATTTCCATAGTGATTGCACCAGTCTGCATTCTCATCAACAGTGGAGAAGGGTTCCTTTTATCAAAGAGGATATTAGAAAATGGAAAGATATCCTTTGCTCATGGATAGGAAGAACCAACATAGTGAAAATGACCATACTTCCAAAACTGTTATACAGATTTAATGCAATATTCATCAAAATACCATTAGCATATCTCATGAAGCTAGAGAAAATATTCTTAAAATTTATTTGGAAACAGAAGAGACCTAGAATAGCAAAAGCAATTCTGGGCAACAAAAGTAAGGCAGGGGCATTAAAATCTCTTACTTGAAATTATACTACAAAGCTACTATGATAAAATCAGCATGGTAGTGGAATAAAACCAGACTTGAGGATCAGTGGAACAGATTAGAAGATGCACAGTTACAAACACACTCAGCTACCTTATCTTTGGCAAAGGGGCCAAAAACATTCACTGGAAGGAGGATAGCTTCTTTAATAAATGGTTCTGGGAAAACTGGCTTTCCACATGCTGAAGACTAAAACTAGACCCATGTCTATCACCATGCACTAAACTAAAGTTATCAGGGATCAAAGATCTAAATATTAAAACAGAACCACTAAATCTAATGGAAAAGAAAGTAGGCAGAAATCTTGAAACACTGGTGTAGGCAGGGAGTTCATGAACAAAACCCAGGCCTCACAGGAAATACTGCAAAGAATCAACAATTGGCATCTCATTTTATTAAAAAGCTTTTGCACATCAAAAGAAATCATCAACAGAGTGAAAAGAAAACCCACAGAGTGGGAAAAAAATTTTGTCAATTGTCCCTCAGACAAAGGACTTCTACCTAGAATATATAAAGAATTGAGAAAAGTCAGACCCCCAAATTCAAAGACCCAATCTATTTTTGAATATACACTCTTCAGATGAAGAAATACAAATGGCAAATAAATATATGAAAAAATGTTCAACATCACTGGACATTTGAGAGATGCAAATTAAAACAACACTGAAATGCCATCTCACCCCAGGAAGAGTATCTATTGTCAAGAAATCAACCAATGACATGTGTTTCTGTTGTGAAGTGCTGTCTTTACAGGAGCTCCAAACCAGTGGAACTGCCTGATTTTGGACTTGAATCTCCAGAACAGTGAGTCAAACTAAACTTCTCCTTACTTCACAAATATCTTGAGTCAGACTTTTTTTTTTACAGTGATGCAAAGTTAATATATCTTCATATTTTCTGTAGTTAGTGGATCCATGTTTGGGGATACAAATATACTCAGGTAAGGTTTACATCATATGCCTTGAGGGGACCCTATCATTAGAAAGGAGTTTGCCAATCCTGTGGGGATTTTGCATGCTTCATCTAATTTAGTTATCTTAATGGAGGGTTGTGATGTTGATATTTTTGTCACTTTTTGAATGATGAACCTGGGGATGAGACAGGCTAAGTAACAGTGTCCCAGCTCTCTCTGTGTGGGTATACATGCGCAGCTCTTTGTCCCTTGTCCCACTAAAGCAAACAGATATATGCAAGAGGACTAAAGGAATATTTGCCCAAGGCATTTGGGTAGCATTCAAGTGGGTCTCATCTGAGTGAAAAGCCATTCAGAGTGTGGAGAAAAGAGGAAACAGTGTGACGCTAATGTGCTTTTTTCCTCCTGCTCCTGCTGATAGCCCTTGGTGGGATATTTCCTTTGAAGTCTCCCACCTCACTGCCTCCCAGGATGAACATGACCTAAGCCAGCCTATACTCTGTCAAGGCCAGATCAAGGCCGCACTTCACAGCCCATGACCAAGGCAGGGAGGAGTCAAGGCCACACAACACATTTTCCTTTGTGCAAAGTCTGCTGGCCTTTTGGGGACTGATCCTTGACGTCACCAGCACCAGAAAGTGTGGTCAAGTGGATGTACCTACCCAGACCATAGCAACCATGACATAATAACTGCTGACATTTCACAACTTCTCAGATGCTCCAGGAAGCTGGCAAGATTTGCAGAGGACTTCTTTTGCCCATGGCTCCCCATTGCAGCCTGCATCAAACATAAACAAGTATGACTGAAGGAGGATGCTAAGGAAGACTGTGGATGAAGGCCCGGGGAAGGGACAAGTAGACTGGTAAGCCTGGGCCACTCTGGGCCCTGGGCCCTGCCTTGGTCTCTTATTCACACAAGGACAGTTATCACCACCTCAGCCAAGGGGGTCCTGGGAAAGAAGCAATGAGTTCAGAGAAGAAAGAGCATCAGGGGCTTTAATATCCTTTCCTGGGCTAGTGCTTGGCATCTGTGATTTGTTTGCTGGTGTCATCAAAAAGAAGACAAAAGTAGGGGGTGAAGTGTGAGTCACTGTCATGGAGTGCTCTGACAGTGGCCTGTATTTCTTTGGCTGCCAACTCATTCAGATCCAGAGATGGCATGGGAGTGCTGGCATGAGAATTCTCCTTCCCACACACTGGGAAATAGTCCCAAACACTTGGAGCAAGATGTGCAGCTGAGGTTTGGCAGGGTAATGGGAGGGAAGCAGCAGAAGGGAACAAGGCAATAAGAGAATGTAGAGTCAGAAGGAGAAAATACATGTGCTCAATATCTCCCATTGTGAAATCATAGGTACTGGAGTGAGCACAGGAAAGGGAGAATAAAGGTGGAGGGAAGAAGGATGGGAGCGAAAAAAATCCACAGTAAGGAAGCAAAACCTGACAAAAAAGGGAGGCAGGGATATGTTTCACCTTTTGGGTGTACACACACACACACACACACACACACACACACACACACACTGCTCCTTGCCAGTTCCTAGATACACATTAGGCAATTTAAGTTTTAATTTTTGATGTTAATAATCTTATTTTAAAATATAACCAGCATTAAACTCTATTTTGGATTTACTGATCCCTTCTCCTTAGTCTCATTAATGTTTTTGTACTGCATTCATAGATAAATTGATGTTTATTTTTTCCCATAGCTGCTCTCTTGGCTTCTAATTGAACATAACCTTCTTTAATGCTGGAAACACTATTGTTTCATTTATTTACAACTCTCACTCCTAAAGATTCATGCATGTTTCTGTGTATACTTAGTGTTTCATAAATGTGTAATTGGCTATATCCTCATAGGAAGGAAAGATTTATTGCTGACACAAAATACCCAATGCCCAAAGTTAAAAGGGGAAAGGTTTATTTATCTCACAGTTTGTAGAGTTTTCAGTCCATAATCATCTGGCTCCAAGGCAGGGAGGCGCATGGTAGATGAGTAGCCATTCATGGTGGCAGAAAACAGCAAAAGCAACAAATGGAGAGACAAGCCTCTTTCTGTCCCTTATATTCTATACATATTGCCTGCCCGAGGTTGGATGTAGCACTCACACCCTTAATCCTAGCCAGAACTATGCCAAATCAGTGAGTGGACTGAAAGTCAATCACACACCCTTAATCCCAGCATCACAAACTCTAGATTCAGCTACCTTTGAAAAAGTCCTATGACCTCAAGAGGCTTTGGAGGGTATATCCAGACACAAACCATAACAGGTTCCATGTTTTTCTCGGGCAGTATCACAGCGGTAGGACTTGCCATGGGCCTGGCAGCAGTTTTGCCTGTGTGAGCATTGCCTTAGCTTCCAGAATGTTCAGCCTGTATTAGTCACCTTGTCCCTCAAGTGTCAGTTTCTCTTGTCTCATCTTAGACTTCTCTGGTCTGGCCTGCTGTAGCTTGGGACCCTGCAGTGGAACTGCCTTTGGCATCTGCTTTCCAGGCCCATGTTCTAAGTGACAGTGTGTTCTGATGCAGAAGTTCTCGTACTTCTGCTAGTCTGACTTACTTGGCTGTGGCCCAGTGAGGGCCTCTGTAACCCTGAGCTCTGAGCCAAGGAATGTCATGTTCTAACAAAGATTGTGTGAAACAAGAATACTCAACAGCATGCTTTGAAGAGAATTTCACAAATTTCCATGGATCTTTTAAGCTTGTCATCTTTTTTTTCCCACCATCCCCACCCGTGTTGATTAATGAGATTCTCAATCTTCTCAGAACCACATTTCAGGCTTCTGATCTCCTAAGGGAAAGAGAAAACACACCTGGCTACAGTCACATCTATTTGGAGTTACATCTCAAAGAATTTCTAAGGAAATCTAACACAAAGGTAAATGAAAGAAGATTCTTAAAGATTCACTGCTGGAAATCTTTAAACTCTTGGCACCAACATTAGCCCAAAGGAGAACACCCAAGCGCCAGAGCTTAATGCAGTGGGATAAGGATAGGCTGGGGTGTTCGGGATTAATGAACTTGGAGAGCCAGAGGTTCTCGCTCCTTGAGTGTGTTATATATCACCACAGCTTAACTCTGTCACATTTCTTCCAGACTTTGGGGTAATTAAGAATTTCCCAAAGACAAAAGATCAGATTCCCTGACTCCCACTCCAGGAGATTCTGAGTACAGTTGAAATGCATCTGGGAGTCCAATGCCAAGGATCTCAAGATGGTGCAATGAGAAATCCAGCACTCATCAGTCCCCAGACCTGGTCCTCAATGGCTTTCATCACGCTCAACACCACCACCTCCAGTATCACCATCACAAGCACCATCACTGCCACCAGAAGAAGGGCAACCCTCTGAGAAATATTTGTTGCTGCCAAAGTCAACTCTCAACAATATCAACACGTGGCTCACTCAGAAACCTGTACAATGTGTGGTTCTTGAGCACTTGGGATTTGGTATTGATACAGTGCAACTAAAATTTGCATTTTGTTTCATTTTAATTAATTTAAATTTAAGTTACTATGAATACAGAGTCTAGGGTATTGGACGTGGTGGATCCAGAGGCAGGGAAAAATAGATTGATCTGCTGAGCACCTGCTTACAAATCAAGTCACTTTCAGTCAATGCCATTGGAAAATACCAAATCTAAGAGTTGGGAGAACCTGGAAACTTACCTAGAAAAGCTTGGACAAAAATTGACTACTGCTCCCACCACTCCCATAGTACTGACCTCAACAATCACCAAGCTACTTCCACACATTTAGGACCCTATCATGGGGAAGAATATGCTGCTTGCTAGGATGGGATCTTATGTCACTGAAAATGGGAAAACTTGGGTGTGATAATGAAATCAGTGCTCAGGGAGGCAATAGCTGGATTATCAAACCAGACTCCAGCAATTTGGTATGGTGCTCTATTTGAGAATCAGTAACTGAAGTCAGTTCTCTTGAGAGCTTGAGAATTTGAAACTGAACTTACCCTCTTCTGTGTAATCGTGGGCAAATTAGTCAGAATCTCTAAATTTTAGTCTGTTTACCCGTACGATGGAGATGATAATACAGTTCCAACTTAATTAAGTAGTAAAGAGTCAGCTGTTCTCAGACTCTTTGGTTATCTGACCCTCTTCCAGTCTTAAAAGTTAATGAGAAGTTGGTAGATGTACATTATGTACCACAAACATACTAATAAAAATAAAACTTTAAAAATGGTTAATGAGAACCTCTCAAAAAGAACTTTTGTTTTTGTAGGTTAAATATATGAATGTATAACATTTTAAAAACCTAAAATATTTATTTTGTAACAATAATAAACCCTTTACACATTAATATAAAGAGCATATTTTTGTGAATTACCATATTTTTCAAAACAAAATTTAATTAGTGAAATGTGTGACACTGTTTTACATTTTTAAAGATCTTTGCACGTCTGCCTTAATGGAATCCAGCTAGAGCCTCATATCTGCTTCTCTATCCCATCTGCTGCAACATGTTGTTTTGGTTGAAGTATGTGCTGAAAATCTGGCTTCGGACAGGTGTGTGGTAGGGAAAGAGAGGGGTAATTTTGTAGCCTTTTCGAATACTCTTCTTTGGCATGTGAAACTTGAAAAATAGCTATTATTAAAGATTAGTTAAAATGCCAAATCAGAAATAATGTCAATAAATTTTTCATACCTTGTTACATTGCAATCTGTTGATACATTTTGTACTGTGAAGGTATCTTTTATCTATACATAATTTTGTAGCCAGCAAATAAATAACGGTTAGTTATTTGAGATTAATGACTAATGGGTGATTCATTCACTGAATTACACTTTATCCATTGAATTACTCTTCATTTCCTAATGCTATCACATTTTTATTATGCAGTACCAGAATATCACATTTGTTAGTGTCACCACTAATATCATCACAATGTTTTTAAGTATTGGAAATCATCAGGTGCAATAATGTTTTCAACACTGCTCTGATGCTCCTCAGAATTTCAGATTTATTCAAGGAATGAAACACAAGATGGAAGACAGCAAATAATGGCTTCTATGTCTTGGTCTCCCTCTGCTTGCTTTCTTGCGGATGGAAGAACATATTTTTTAATTTAGAAATTTAGGACATTGAACTACCTTCTTCTACAATTTTGATTTACTACATATATGAAAGAGTCATGAAGAATCAGATTCATTATTAAGGATATCTTACCACATAGAATGATTTTGCCATCTATGCAGAAAAAGAGGTAGGATGATCTGTTTGGAGTCTGGGTGGCTACTGCTGTCCTAACACTTTAGACTGATTTCAGGAGGCTTTTGTTTATGTAATGCTGCATAACAGCCACAAAACTGAGTTACTTAAAACAAAACACTTATCTCTCAAGAATTCTCTAAGTCATGAATTTGAGTGTTGCGAATCTGGGCAGTTCTGGGTGAGGGACTGCCTGACATGCACTGAGACGCTGGCTGTTGGCAGAACCCCTCAGTTCCTCACCATGCGGGCAACTCCTTCAGGCCCTTTGAGTCTCTTAATTCACGGTGGCTGGCTTCCCCTCAACACATGATCTGAGAGAAGGTAAGGTAGAGGCCTCAGAATCTGCTACAATATGACCTCAGAAGTCCTGTGGCATCATTTCTTTAATATCCTATTGATTTCACAAGTCAGCCCTTTCATGGGTTGAAATTCCACAAAGGTATGAATACAAGTAATAGAGAATCACTGGGGGCCTTTTCGTGACTGGCTATCACAGATACCTGCTTTAGGTGTAGATTTGCTTTTCCTACTTGTAGAATATTTAGGTTCAGTGATCTAGGACCCTCAGAACATACAAAATTCTCTCTTCACACAGCTTAGCATTTTACCAAGGGATATACTTCATAGAGAAGAAAGCATGGAAGTAGGATCATTGTAATTCGATCTACTTTTTTATGTGTATGGCACCCCCTGGAAGTACCTGCTGTCTTGGAAATGTACATAGTGTTCTAAAATTGTGCCGATGATCTAGCTCAGAGGGATACTGTGAGAATGGGGTGCTATCTGTCAGCATGCAATGTATGTATTAAATCAAAGATCTCTATGCTATACTATATCTCCAATAGCAAGAACATATGTGTCTGGGAGGGCTAGAAGCAGAAGTGGCCCCATTTGTTGACTTTATGCTCCTATGTCTTTAAGTTTGATCTCTACAAGGTTGGAAATCCTGGACCCAAAAGAGTACAACTCTTGCAAACACCCATTGAACTACATTATAGTTGTGTCCAGGTTCTAGTAGCATAGAAGAAAATAATACCAATGGAAATAATGGACTATTTATCTGAGTCTTCTGAAAAGCCAACACCAAAATGGGATTGAATATGTACGGCTTTTATCTGACAGAAGGCCTCTGAAAGAAAATGCGTACATGTGTCAAGCTGAGTGAGTGGTCAGTCTGTGATACAATGCTGACTCTGAGTGAATGGAAAGGAAAGAAAGGTTTGTGGGAGGGTCCTAGACTATCATGTAACTCAGGAAGTCTGAAGAAGAGGTGTGACCTTTAGCTGTCAGAGGAGCCCATGTATCCAATGGAGTCCTATCAGAGTTCTCGTGCAGCACTCAGTCACTCATCCAGAGCTTCTCAAGGGAAGTGGACTCTTACATCCCAAAGTCAGCAGCGGGGCTGCTGGGCAGTTACAGCCTCCGTAGCTGGAGTTCTGTGAGGTGTGTTCCCACTGCTGCTGTACTGACCTTCCTCATCAGGAATAGGGTGGACTATCTTTACACCCGGAAGCAGTGAGATTTACATGCTACCTGGTACTTTCTTGCCCATCCTAGCGGTGAATATATGTGACAAATGCAATAAAATTACTCATTTTTTGTTTTGAATTTTATTGGTATAATATAAATTATTTTACTTATACCCCATTTAAATTTTTTAAATATTGTATTTTTTTCTGTGCCTACTGTTTACTCTATTTACCTTTGGAAAAAATAATATTTTATTGGCTTTCTCTATTATCTATTTTCTAATTCCTTAAATCCTTACTTACCTTTGTCATTTCCTTTATCCTCCTTTATTTGGGTAAGCCTATTCATTGTTTAAGTCCTTCAGTTGAATGGTCAGTATTTATATTTCAGCATTTATTCTTTTTGAGTGTAATGTATTCTGTCCATAAAACGAACGGTATTCTAACGTAGATGGCACAAGGCTGAGCAGAAATAAAGGGGTAGGTAAACAAGGCAAAGAAGGGGTCCCCAGCCAGTTCTTGACCCAGAAACCTCCTCAATCTTAAAGCCGGAGTAGACAATCACCACCAGGTGGCGCCCCACCTCAACAGGGAGTGGGATGAAGTCTTAAAAAAATGTAAAGATGTTTCCATACATCTCTATATTGTTTCCTCATCAAATCTGGGGAGTTAGTGCATCTATCACTTTAGACATTTATAATTTCTTCATAATGAAAACACTCAAAAAATGCTCTTCTAGCTATTTTGAAATATAAAGCACATTATTGTTTAGACCTCCTCCTGTGCAAAAGAACAACAGAACCTCTTCCTCCTAACTGTGACACTGTGCCTCTTGACTAGTCTGTTTCCATTCTACCTCCTCCTAAACTTCCCCAATATCTACTACTTTCTCTTCTTTGTGAGTAACATTTTCCAGATCCCTTCTGAGTGAGACCATGCTGTTTTTGTCTTTCTGTATCTAACTTACTTCACATAATATTCCCCAACTTCATCAATGTTACTGCAATAGCAATGTAATAGTATTCCATCATGTATATATTTATATACTGTATTACATTTCCTGTAACCATTCATCTGATGAAGTATCCTCAAACTGGTTTCATGCCTTGGTTATTGTGAACAGTGGTACACTAAGTATGGGAATGCAGATGTCTCTATGGCATTCTGATTTCATTTCTTTTCAAAAGTTTCTGCACAGCAAAGAAAACAATCAACTGAGCAAAGCAATGGTCTACAGAAGGGGAGAATATACTTGCAAACTACTCAAGCAATAGTATAATATCCAAAATATATAGGGAAGTCAAACTATGCAATAGTAAAAAGCAACCAGTTTAAAAATGGAATAAAACAGTGTCTCAGTGTAGTTTTCATTCACATTTATCTAATGTCCAACAGTGTTAAACATTTTTTCATGCATTTATTGGCCATTTATACTTCTATTCATTTTAGTTGCTCATTTTTGATTGTACCTTTCATTTTGAGGGGTTTAATTTTGGGGGTTCTTTATATATTCTAAATACTAGTCCTCTGTCTGAGCAATAACTGGGAAAATTTGTTTCCCATTCTATAGGCTGTCTCTTTGCTCTGTAAGATAAGTGCTAATTTGGTTCATTTATACTTCTAGTTTCTTTTGTTCACTGAAAAGAAAGTTTTGTCCTTTCTTTCTTCTTTGTAAGGGAGAATAATTTTTTTCAAGGACTTGTACTCTGAGTGACATTTTCTAGCTGTTCTTTTAAGATATGATACACAGTTAG